GTATCCAAATATATAGCGGAATTGGATAATATCACAAATTCATAAAAACGAAAACAAGTTAAAAGAATGTCTACGGAGGAGTTTATCTAACTAAAATTCAATAACCTATATATATGCATATATACAAATATAAAAATGTTAATAGAGCTCAAACTTTTACCTCTACAAAAAAATACTATAGAAAGTAAAAACTATTCACTGCTAGAGTCTAGTTTTGTTCTTAAGACATAATCCATCACACGATCCAATAACCAATTATGACAATGGTTAAGAATATATCATCTTCACTATAAATTGCAAAATGCTCCGTGATTGGAGGAATTTGACACTTTGTAAAACTTAATTGGCGCATTTATTCTGAAGTTTTGTTTCCAGAGTTGAAAATTTGAAATCAGACACTATAATATGACTGATTGATATGATCACCGTCTATCACCCTCTCAAACTTTTTTTCTTCTACATGACTTTTGACCGCGGAAATCATTTTAAAATAAACTAAAACAAGTTAGGCGCATCCTAAAAAGTTCAGATAATAATAGTCAGAGAAAAACATCATTGTCTAAAATTATACGACAAAAATTAAAACTAGAAGAATTCGTGGTAAAACTACAGAAAATAGACATATAATGATTTAAAAAAAACACTGTCGCCTAAGCAATGTTTTTTCTTCTTCTTTTTTTTTTTTTTTGCAAAAGAAAGCAATGGTTATAAACTTATAAGAAAATAACGTAAGTATACATATGTGTACTAAAACAAGTCGATCTGATTTTTATCTAGAACTCAACACAAAACGATTCAATATAGCATGGAATCTTAATCAACTAAATATAGTGTAATGAACCTTGAACAAAGTGAAAAAAACAAACAAAATATTTAAAACTAATGATTGATATGACTGAAACGAAGTCCAAACGTCCATAAATCATCAAGAACCCAAGAGTAAACACAAAATGCAGAAATCAAATAAAAACAAACCATATATATGTATGCAAATATAAGATATTTACAAACATTTGACTGTTTTTTCTGGTCATGCTCGGCTCCTTGTACGCCACCAGCAGCCAATTTTCAACCAAAATCGATATCCACTTGTGGCATACAGGGAGCCAGGCATGATGACACATCAATATATGTATATGTATATGTATATAGTAGTAACATACTAAAACCCTTACGCATGAACGTTGGACACCATTTTTGTTTTTTGAGCTTTACTTGAACTGAATAAGAATCTTTGTTTATTATTGTTGGGAAGAGGAAATGAAAGTAGAGAGGTGTATTGAAGGTATTTGGTTGAAGAGGAATTTGTGGCACGAATATATAAAGGAGAAGGAAACTACAGCGCTAATTATGCTATTGCCATATTTTAAATAAATCAAAAACATGACCAAAGTTGGGTTTCGGTTTTTAATAATTTAATATGAATATAGGGGGATAAAATAATTATCAGAGGACCCATTAATTCACTTTCCTTAAAGTTGTTGTTTTTTTTTTTTTTGCTAAAAGCTTCTTTTTCACAATTTTTTATTTATTGAGAAATAAATCATGAAAAGAATATAGTTTAATAGCACCATAAAGAGCGAAAGTTAATGGATTATGCGTTTGATCCTAGTTGAAATTTTTAAACATTATAAGATTTCTCAAACTCCAGCATACAAATTTGTATATTGTAAATCAAAAATATGGGTTATTCTTGTTATTAAAAAGAATAAAGATTGCACAGCATGCAAACCTACTGGGTTGCTTTTATATACTTTATGTTTTTAAGGAGAATCTGATAAAGATTTTCATATTATAAAGTAAATGTTAGAAAAAAAGAAAGAAAGAGTGAATGGGCCATATATCAATCAATCATCTTCATCACCACAAAGGACCTACGTTTTCATTCTAATCCAAAACTTTAGCGTTGGACATTTCAAAATGATACCCCAATTTAGGTCTTCTTTTGTTCTTTTTTTTTTTTTTTTTAGTTTGATAGAGTATGTGTTTCAGCGTTTGTATTAACGGCTTAACGTTTTACCAGTGAAAATAGTGTGTTTATCTTGGGAAGTTGTAAAATCAAACGTGAAAAGCAAAACAGAAAAAAGAAACGTTCACGTTTTGCTGCTTTTAACCCTGGAATTCGTATATGACATCTGATATATTAGAGATATAATTTATTCGAAGATGATAACTAACACACAAATGCTTCTTTAAAAAACAGTGATATTATTTATCATGTTTTATATATAACGAAGATAATCCAATTTCAAAGATCTTTAAAGCTTAAACTCGATTCTTCTTTTGTAAAACTAGATTTCTTGTCTTTTCTTTTTTACAATTTTAATGGGTTTTGTGGGTTCTTTCGCTTTTCCTTTTTACAAATAAAGACACTTTTTAAGAAATGTTTAAAAAAATAAAGATCTTTCCTTTGACCCAATATGTAATGGCCAACTCATGAGGATAGTTTTTGATTTGATTTTAGACTGAACTAGAGCCTTTTCCACGCTACGCGCGGATCATATACTATTATAATTTATTTTATTAAATTTTTCTTGTATTGTTTTTATTTTATATTTGAAGTATTGCTTTCATTTCATTTTGTACGTATACATTATAAAATTCACAAATGTTTCCAAATTTATAGAATGGATTGTTTCAATTAGAACTTCAACAAAGTTTCAGTGTGTAATAATATTATGTGACATGATATTGTTTTTACTCTAATTTTTGAATAGTTGTATATTCACTTAAAATTGAATTGTAAATGTAAGTAGCCCACAAAAAAATGAATATGAGTTTTATTTTTCACATAATAGAGAAAAGAATGATAGTATGTGACCTCTTCGATTTCAGTTTAATTATCTTCATAGACTATTTTTTCATTTAAAAATAAGTATCGCTTTAAAATTCTAATAAAAAAATTATTAACGATATTCTTCCATTTTTTTTTTGTATTGGTTGGAATATGGTTAAGTGTATATGTTATGATAACTTAAATATTTTTTTAATCTATGTGCATTAACCTAAAGATACAAATTTAAATGAAACGGAGAGTTTATATAATAATTTTTACGTGTTAGATTATCTTTTTTATCATTTCAGTTATTAAACTTAATAAAACTTTATGTTTTTAATTTAAATTGAAAGATTTTAAATTGTCGTATTTTATTCAAAATGATTCAGTTTGTTGCCTAATAAATTTCATAAAAACCTTATATATTGTAAGAAACTATAATTTCTAATTTTTGTTTCTATTAGGTGAAATCGATAAATAATAGGAAAATTCTCTCAAATGGCTATTTTAAAATTTCTGTTATAAAAATAGCCGTAAAAAAAATAAAATGACCAAAATAGTATTTTATATTTTGAAATTTGTAATTTTTTTAAAAAACTTTAAAACCCTAAACCCAAAACTTCACCAATTAACTCTAAACCCTAAGTTTAGATTAGTTAACTCAAAAGTATAAATGTATATTTACCTTTTAATAAAAACTTATTTTGATCATTTTTTTTCCTTGAATACTATTTTGTGAAAATAAACTAAAAACGATTATTCAATGAAATTGTTTAAATAATATCTTTGGTTGGTAATGGTGTTTCTTTGAATATGTTTTTGTAATTTTTGTAGAAAACTTGCCAATATCTTTCCAAACATCACATACAAAGTTTTCATTCCTTCTTTGATAATAGAAAGTTAAGAACTTGTATTTTTGGTAAATAAAGTTATATTTGTTTTGGTAATGATTACTTCATAGTGATATCTTAAACTTTTGACTTTCACTTTTTTGTTTGTTGTTGTGTCTTATATTTTATATTTCTTTAATATTTTTAATAAATGCTTATTCAAACTGGTTTTACTAATTTATTTGTACGTTGTTTTAATATATGAGAAGTATGGTATTGTAATAGATTTTGGAATTTTTTTATCTCAAACACTATTCATCAAATATGAAAATAATTATATTATTTTAATTCTTTATATCTATATTTATGGTTGTTTATTATGGGAGGAGACGTTAGAAACTGCTTGACTTAATGGATATACATGTTTGCGGTCCAGAAATGAGAGGAGAAGAGAAGAGAAGAGATGAGTGATTGATCCAACGGGCTGGCAAATAACACGTTTCGGGTCTAGAAAAAATTGAAGCCTAACCAACCAAGCAGGCGCTGACTTGGCATGACTTAACAATTCCATTGGTCAATTATAAATGCTGACGTGGATAGCTCCATAGACCTTTATTAATAACTTTTAATAGTAATAGATTTTCGCGACTTAATGGAATGGATCAGCCCATCATAAACCAACAAAACCAGGTCAAGATAGATTAGTTTAACGGGAATCATGAATCATAGAGTATTTGAATGATCGGTTATGGCTGTAGATGCTCTAGACAACCAAAATTTAATCTAGAAACATAAATATATATATCAATCAAATTTTCCTTTCTTTAAAAAATTTACAGCCAAAAAATCTCAAAAAATTAAAAAATAGTTGTAGAAAGCTCTATTTTCAAATAAAAAATAGTACTTAAAAAGCTATAACAAAATAATTTACATCAATAAATCTATAGCTTAAATTTTACTGCCAAAAACATATAGCCACAGCTGACTCCAATCACCCCCTATCTTTCTGTTATTACATTTTGTGGCTGCGGCTTTATCTGCCTTTTCAGTTCCTGTGGTATCTTATCTTGGGCTCTGTGACTGTAGCAACACACTTCTCTCAAATCACATTTTTTGCAATTTTAAACCGGTGCAAAACTATTTTCTTGCATTATACTTCCGGAATTTAGGAGAACGCACAAACAAGACCCTTATCTCCAACAAGTATAAGTTTGCCCAAAAAAACAAAAAAAAACAACACCTCAGTAGACCCTCAAACCCTAAACCAAACCAATACAAAACCCCAACTTCTAAGCCTTGTCTGCAAATAACGCTATATACCAAGTAGTTCTTCACTCGTTGATGCTTTTAAGATCAATGAAAACTTTCAAAAATATTGTTATTGCTTTCCAACATCAAGCTGCGATAACAGTAATCACGATCAGGAGTACAATGCCAAATATCACCAAGAGCAAGCATGTCTGCATGTAAACAAGATCCAAAGCATCACTAAACCCATCTCTAAAAACCAGAAAAAAAATGTAAGTGTTTTTTTTTTTAGTACCAGAGATGAGTTTGATCTTTGTGTTTTTGAGGCTTGTGCAAGCTGAGATCTTCCTTGAGCAGTTCCAGCTCGAGAGTTGTCAATGTGAGTACCGATATCATCTGCCAATAAAAAAAGAAAGTAAGCTCTAAAACTCTATAATTGAGGAAGTATGCCCTTTTATAGATTTTTCTTTACCTATCATGACTCCTTGATCGTTAACAAGAACCGCAAGATCTTTGAATATCTCATTAACTTCTCCAATATGATTATGTATTTCTTGTATCCCTTGCTCTTTTCCTTCAATCACAGCCTCGTTGAATGCAATCTCGTTGTCTAACAATACAGGCTCCTGCCTGCAAAAAAGAGGAAGATAAGTTGCATCACTAAACCTTTTTTGACTCCACAACTTGTGCCCTCTGTTCCCGGAGGTTATCTACGTCACTCGCTGTATAGCTATAAAACATCAAGCAAAGACAAACAAGAAACAATGAGTCCTTATAATCAGACTAACAAAAAGTCAAACTCTTTGCTCTGCATCATCAGTAGTTAAGTGTACTTATGATCATTTGATTCAACATAAGGCAAAGCCACACAAAGAGCTGTTTATTACCTAGATGGATGAGAAGATGGAGGCATGAGAGGAGCATAAGTGGTTTCTCTTTTAGCAGCAGTTTGTTGAGCTTTCTGAAATGATTTCAACACAACTTACAAAAAAATAGTAAAACCTTTAAAATCTAAAATATATTTACAAACAAGAATCAGATTCGTTACAAATGAGCATATCAATAAAAACAATCAGTCTAAGATGGTGTTATTCAATCATGTATTTTAAAAGAGTTTAAATCTAAACACAATCAATTGTTATTCAATTGATGATTCTAAATTATGTTTCAAAATTCAGTGTTATTCAATCTATGATTAAATTTTGGATTTTAAAATTTGGTGTTATTCAACTTTTAAGGATTTTAAAATTCTTTGTAATATAATTGGATTTCAAATCATCAGTGATAGATTCAAATGAATGAATGATTAAACTCAAAATCCAAAGAGTATTTCAGAGATTTTAGAATCCATCAACTTTAACAATCTTAAAATTTAAAAATCTAATAGATTGTAAATATTTTAAATTGATTTTAAATCACTAATTGAATAACACCCCCTAATTCCATACGATATTTGAAAGTATAGCCAATAAGTGATAATTCTGTTTTAATTAGTTACTAGATTTAAACCCGCACAACTGCGAAGTGTGTATTTTTAGTTTAATATATATAATATTTATTTAAACATAATAATTTTACTATTTATACTTTTGTCAATTAAATTAATTATTTCAAATTTTCTCATGTATTTTTTGACTTTTTCATACCTATTTATTGGATTTGTTAAATTATTAAATGAACTAATATATATATATATATATATATATATATATATATATATAAAGTTCACCAAATTTTAAAATATTTATATATAACTTATACCCCATCCATCATTTTAATTGTCATTACACAGTAAATATTTATATTCAAAATAAATGTAGTTTTAGAATTTCAAAATAAAATTTATTAACTTCATATACTATATGACTTTTTATATTCTCTAACTTTATGTTGCTATTTATTAAAATATAGTTAGAGGTAATAGTAATGATATTTTTATTTTAAAAATATAAATTAAATAGTTTCTTTATCTATGTGCTTAAATCTAAAACGACAATTAAAATGAATCGGATGAAGTATATTTTTTAAAAAAATATTTAATTTATTTACTTTAAAGTTATTTTATGTTTAACTTACATATAAAAATAGTATTTAGTAATTTATTTGATATTTATAATTTTTATAATATTCATATACACTAATATTTAAGCATTTAGCATTAGTTATTTGAACATATAATAAAATGAGCTAAATATATATTACATTAATATATACACTAATCACGATTGTGACTTAAAAAAACCTTATAAATGAACCAATATAGTATGATAATATCAAATGGGTCATTCCAAAGTAGACTAAATAAACTATGAACATTCCAAATGTATAGTAACTGATTTATTCGAGAAATTAATCAGGTACGTTTCTAAACCTACCAAATACTCTAACTTTTAGTTTTTTTTTACACCAGGTTAGTCTTCTTTGTGTGTAATATCATATATTTGAAGATTTCTAAACCAAAAAGTGAGGAAACTAAATGAGAATTTGAATATTTTTGACAGATATATATTTTGTGATTTTATTATTATTATATTTTTATGATTTAAACATTGTTTGGATCAAATCTCATTGGTTTACATGTTTGAAATTGCTGACCACATAAAAATATGGTAATTGTTCCACCTTTTGCTCAGATTTATTTCCTGTTCAATAACTGATTTTAAGAATATTATTTAGTATAATAGATCATGTTGAGAGACATAAATGATATGTATTTAGATGATTTCCAAGAAATGATCCAAAATAAAATATCATACATGAAAGAAGTTATGACTTCTGTTTTAATATATAAGATTTTTAAAAAATATAATGAATTAAGTTTTGAAGAATAAATATGAAATGTCTCTAATCAAGTTTATAGAGTATATCGTCACTACAAGAGTTTCAAGAAAATTATTTCAATAATTTAAATAATTTAACATTTTTAAAAATAGTTTCGAATCAAATGTTCATAATAGTCTTTTAAAAGAAAATATTATGAAGCATAATATAATGTAGTAAGATTATTCCATTAATAGTTTATATATTATTTCTCTAAGCTTTCATGATGATAATTAACACATAGATGTAGTTTATATGTTATATTGAATGTTTATCTATTTATATAAAGTAAAGTTTATTCACTCAAGAATGTGCCATGTCATCAATTCACTTACCGAGAACTTAACACCTGTCCTCACATCTGAAACTCAACGTTTAGTTTGGCGCTTAAATTTTAGACAATTGGGCCTTAATCACAGTTCCAGCCCTAATGTAATATTCAACAACACATCCCGCCAGCAAGTCATCTCCTCATACGCCGTCGAATCACTTGCCCAATTCTGGATGACTCTGCAAAATCTCCATTGAAACGCTTCACTTTGTATTCAAACCAAGTAATAACTCTTTTCATTATTTCCTTCAATACATGAAACCCACTACGTTCTATTTAATTTCCTTTTATCACAAGGTTTCTGATATTTTATTCCTATAAATAGGGATGAAAGCATCAACAAATCTCATTGTTTCCTCAACTTTTTGGCTTTATTTTTATTCGAACCACTGTTACGATGATGACAAATTCTGAACTGCTTCTCGCTGAGCTGAAGTCTGGTCAGGGTAGGGGCGCCTCATCTTCATTCTTGGGTGGCCCAGAAAGAAGAAAGATGGGGAGCTTATGGATGTTGACTTGCTTCTACTGGATGAGAAGGTTATCCTGCTAAATTTAAAATCACAAGTTCAGAAATTGATCCTCTTATTGTGATTGTTAATTCTCATTTACTGAAGCATGTTCATCACTCCACCTTTTACAGTCCATTCTTATCCAGGGATCCATCATCGTTCACCCTCTAAACTATTTTGAAAAACACTGCTGTATTTTTATTCTCCTATCAATTTTTTATACTCTCATCTTTTGTTCCACTTCTACAAATATTCAGGAAGCAGAAAATAAAGATGTCACAGGTGAAGAGCAAGAGCTCTTTGTGTATGAACGCCTCTCGCAAAACCAATGATCATTGTTCTATAGGCCCAGGGTTTCCATGATCCTTGACACTGTTCTTCATCAATGTCACCTATTTTCTTTGAATTCTAGCTTACCCTGTCCATGTCTTAGAGTAGAACAAAGCCAGTTAAGCAAACCGCTCAAGAAGGAAGGGTAAAGAGCCAGCAGAGAATACACAAGAGTACCTGGCAGCTAAGGAGGAGGCAGATACCCTATAAAGTCGAGCAAACCAACTTGAAGTGGATACCTGGGAACTGCAGAGAAACATAAGCAAGTGTTGCAAAAATTAATGCTCCACAACGAGCTTATTCAAAAGGAGCTGGGTAATCTTACAGAAGCAACAAACTTTCAGACTCTGCTTCTGGGTATCTCCGCCTTAATCTTCAAGACTCTGCTTCTCAGTTGTTGATGCAGATGGGAGCTATAACAAAATTAGTTCTTTATTTGGATTACATTATTTTTCATTTACTGTCGTGTCTTAGACTGGAGCAGCAACAGTAGCTGCAGTATCGAAGACAAGAAGGATCAAGGAATCTATCTTAACTTTATGAAATTGCAAACTATTTTTCACCTTTCTGTTTTTGCATATTTTTCTTATAAATGAAAAATGAGTTGTGAGTGTTCCAAAAAAGTGAAAAATGAGTTGTGAAGTTCAGGTACTTCACAAGCATGTGCTGTGTTTTCCTATTTAACAAGTTGGGTTTTAAAATTTTAATACTTGATCAAAAGAAAAAAATATACATAAAAGATATATGTTTGCTATTGTGAATTTGTGATTTACCCATTTTACATTATTCAGGTTAAAATGTATGGTTAGCTATACAAGATCGTGTCTCTCAAACCCGTTGGAGAAGGGCGATTTTATGCTACCAATTTTGGTGCAAAAAAGTGATAGGTGTAACGTCTGCTGTTTTGTGTTCTCAAAGAGACCCACCGGATCTGTGGGAGCCTCCGGGAGATGGAGCTTCCGATAGGATCAATTGGTCGAGTGTTAATATAATGAGTTGATTTTCACTAATACATTAACTAATTAACAATTTATTATCATTTTACAAACAAACAAAAATCGTTGTCTACCAAAAATATAATTCATTAGTTCAGTATGTTTATTTATAATTAATTATTAATAAATATAAAGCATAGTTTTTGTTCTTTTGACACCTCATCAAGAAGTTTTTAATAAACTTAACACCTATGTCATAATTTATTAAATATTAGTAAATGCTCTTAAAATTTCATCTTCAAACTAAATCAATTAGCAAAATATTAATAACTCATAAATCATTTTAATTGATATTTATTTTTAATCAATAAAAATTATGAGATTAATCTTTTTGTTTATCAAAACTAATTATTTAGTGGAAATATCTAATATATACTAACGCAAATAAATTTCAAAAGATAATAAACAAAAATCATAAGAACAAAGAAAAACAAAAATCAATTCTCGCTTTAATCTTTCTGTTTCATTAGATATACCAATGAAAAAAATGAATGTCACAAGACTTTTCTCTTTTTACTACCAAATTTTAGTTTTAACCTAGAAAAAAATATTTTAACACTTTGTCAAAATTGACAAAAAAATAAAAAAATACTTTGTCAAAAAATATTATAGTATTATGCGATTTAGTCAATTACAATGGTTTTAATTCTAAATATTGTAACACATATATAAACCAAAGATTACATATAATAAATCCACAAAAATATAACCAACCTTTTGAATCTAAAACAAATATCAATCAAGATATTTAGTTAAAATTCAGAGCGAAGTATGGATTTATACAATCTTACACCACCTGTCTACAGTCCAATATTATTTCACACAAGTTTTATACATAAAGTCCATAAATCAAATTTTCTTAAGCCAAAATATTACAAACCAAAAATAACACACAAAATATGGGTTCAAAATGATTTAAAATTAATTAACGTGAAAACCATATCAGTTCCGCAATTTTTTAATATAGAAACAACTTTTGTAAATAAGTAAAGTATATCTTACCATATATAATCACTCTTTACCTAAAACTTTCTAGAAACTAAAATTCATTGTCATAAACATCTCTTGCAAATATAAACCTAAAATAAAACTGCAAGTTTATACATAAATAATAAGTTAGATCACAAGTAAATATATTCCGCCCGTAGGGCGGGCCGACCCTAGTATGTTATAAATAATTTTTTTTTCTTGTCAAATACAAGTTAATCAAAGATACATATGGGATCAATGAGTTAGTGAGATTTTAAGTTTCAAATTTATCCTCTCATTTATAGATAATTTTAGAGGAAAATAAATAAATCTTATCTCTATATTTATGATTTGTTAAATGTGTTCAAAATACAAAGTTATTGAATTATACTTAGAATTTTTTTTTTAAAAAAACTTTATTAGTAAATAAAAAAAATTAGATAAACAAGACTTTAGATTGTAGTAGCAATTTATGACAAAAACTGTGTGTTGAGTTACCATCCTGATTTTTTTAAAACAAAGCATTCACTTTAACTGAAATGTTAATCAAAGCTTTTTGAAACACGAGAGAATGGTAAAACCAAAATCTCAGGTCAACTTCGAAATTCTCCTCTCAATTAAGTTCATTCTTTTAATCAACCATATTCATTGAATACATATATATGACTAATAAACAAAAAAAAATAACATGCTTTTGATGTTCAACGAAAAAGATTGCAAAAGAACACTAGATAGTCAAACCACTTCACTTTAGACAAATCAACACACATTGGTTACAGTCAACAAATGTTAATGACATTCTACACATGTTAGTTGCATTCAACATCAGTTATCTTTTGTTGTTTTGCAGGGTTGACCCAGAAAAAGATATACATAAAATATAGTTACTAATAGATAAATTAGTTTTATTAATAGCATCAAAAGTTTTCTACTATAAATTAGTGAATGATGTTGTATCAAATCAATAACTAAAAAACTCTTCTGGTGTATTTCTTTTTTGAATCAAAAGAAAAAGAAAACCAATGAAGGCTTCAATTGTATGCATTGTTGCCTTGCTTATTCTTTCATGTAAGTTATATTTTAATCAATTCAATCTTAACGCATACATATCTAAAAATGCAAATATTTATATATACATGACTTAATTATAGGTTCATCAATGATAATGGGAGTTAATTATCATGAAGACCATTGCCATGACTACCAAGATTGTGAAATATGGTGCAAACAATATGTTCCTGAACCTAAATGTATTAACCACATATGCGACTGTAAACCTCCATCTTTGACCTCTCGAAGAGCTCTCAGCGTCGTCATCTGATCCTTCTAAATTGGACAATTGACTATGTTGATGATTCTCTACATGCATCCATCATAATAAATCTCGTGCTCTGTTTACTTCAATATATATGGTAATAAAATAATAATTTTATATATGTTCTTATTATATGGATTCGGATGTTTGTGTTTTCATACCTGAATCACTAAAAGTTTGTACAAATACTAGACCTAGACGTAATCTTCACAGTATCTGACATTTGATTCTCTTAAAGATAATATGTTAGGATTGGCTAACATGTATTTACACTAAAGAGTATCCAGTACCGTGGAAGATACCGATGATTCTTGGATTAATTATTTATGTAAAATTTTCAAAATTTCAGTTTACTGGAAATATATTTTTTTTTCAATTTTTTTATCAAATATGATGTGGTGGGAATTGGAAATAATTTATAGTTTAAAAATGAGTACAAACACCTCTTTCTGATTGTCTACTTGACTATTTCTATGATCAAGTAGTAACAAAAATGAAGAGTATATGAAATGACATAATAGTATACTAATGTTAACTGATAATGTCATATCATAATATGTAAGAAAAGAAAATTGTGGGGATATCATATGGTCGTCAAAGGGACATGGTTCCATGTATCAAAGTACAAGTCTGATGAGAAAGGAACCATTTCACACGCATTTGATATATATGTTTTACAACCATATAGTATTTAACTTTTAGATATCTTACATTGGACCTAGTAACATGATTTCATTGTGAGACTAGATTCTAAATCACTAGAATGTTTTTTATGATTAAAAAGTCATGAGCAAAGACCAAAATATATAGTGCAGTGACTCAAATGTCATCTGATTATGCGACTTATTGTCTTAATGCTTTTCTAGTCGAGTTACTGGATTTTAATATACTTAAAATATTACTGTATCTCTAATTCTTTTAGTTCAAAAGAGCTTATTTGTTAATTCTGTTTTTAAGTTTTAATCGAGCATCTCAAAAAGTACTTAAGCCTTACAAGTAAGTATCTCTTGTTCTAAAATGAGGCGCAGAGGCCCAATTTTCCAGCGAGGAAACGTGAGGCGGCTCCCATCTGTGGCGATTTGTTTCAAATTGGACAGTTAGACGGAGCAATACAAAAAAATATAGAGTATTTGCACTCCATATACACACAAAACCTAATATTTAGCTTCATACCCTATTTCTCCCTTCTCTCTCCTCCTCTCATAATTATTTTTTCCTCCTAAACTAAGGCAAATTCCTAAATAACTTCTTTTTTTAGTATTTTGAGCAAATTCACTCAAAAGTATATTTGTTTTCACGATTTTGTTTTTATTTACATAAACTGTATTTTTGTATATAATTGTATTTTTAAAAACTAAAATATGAACTTAAAATTAATTCTCGATTAGTCTCTGATTAAAGTCTATTTTTTTAGGCGTTAGGCCTAACTCGAACGTATGTGTAACGTTTACCGAGTTTCCGAACAAGGCAAGTATCTAAGAATATCATTCTTTTTCAAATAAAACATATAAGTTTGTACATATGCTACCACTTTCTCAAAAGTATAATAAACAGAAATATAAAGTGAATAATACAGACCAAATATGTATGAAACATTATATATTTTTTAAACTAACTTTTCTTTTAGAAACCGGAGTAGATTTTTTATTTAAAATTGTTTGTTTTGGGTTTTGACTAACAAATAATGCCAACACCTGTCACTTGTCTCAGTAAGGATGAAGAACAATGCCGTGTACAGAACGCACGCGGTTAACGCGTGGTGAATAATATTTTGACTTAAGTTGAAAAAGTTTTGATTTGTAGAGACGTCTCTTGTTTCGAGGCAAAACGTACGGACTCCCAATAATATAACTCCACGTGGGAACACGGAGCAGTTAACGGAAAGAGTTAGACGAGCGTTTTTTCATCCGTTACATTACGTCAATTAGCGCTGTTAAAACAAAAGTCTGCCGTTTACCCTTCTGGTCCGGTAAGTATTTAATGAGAAATTTACTCCTCCATTTATTGCAAAGGGAAACCAACTCAGAAGAAGAAAAAACTTAGAGAGAGAAACTGAGTAAACTCCAAAATCTCTAGAGAGCATAGAGAGAATATCTTTCTTGTTTTCTTTTTCTCGGAAGGTAAAGAAGGTGAGAAAACAAGAGAAAGTGAAAGAAAATCTGTATAAAAATGTCAAAAGACAGTGTATTTATCTTTATCTAGTTTCTGTTGTGTGTATTTATGCATTTTTTTTCTTCTCTTTTTTTAATATTTTCCCAAGTTCAATCCAAAATGTTACAACATAAACTATATCCAGATTCCTTATTTTCTCATGAATGTTCAGATAGTCTTTTAATTATTTTTATTAGTTGGACTTGGACCTGTATTTTTTTTATTGAAAAAAAATTACAGTAATAAATGTTTTTTATCAGTTACGTTTTTGTGTATTTAATTTTAATATTTTCAAACTATGAAATGATTTAGCTATCTTAATTCTGAGATTTCAACAAATATTTCTGCATTTCCATGCACTGATTCTCCCTTTGAACCTTCACTTCTTCCAGATTTCAAAGAAAAGCCCTAACTGAGATCTTTATTTTGTAATAATTAGTTTTTTTTTGTTGTTGTTGTTAGTGCAAGTGATGTTGACATCAGACAACAGATTTGCTTCGCCTCCTCCTCCTGCTTCTTCTTCTCCGGCAACAATCCAAAACCCTAATTTTAATTTCATCCCTTTCAACTCATTTTCATCCATTATCCCGGTTTGTTCCTAATTAATCTTTCTCCTTTTTTTGTTAAAGTTTTTTTCTCAACGTATAAATTAATAACTTATTTTGTTAGAAGGAGGAGCATGGAATGATGAGTATGAGTATGATGATGATGATGGGAGATGGAGCAGTCGAGGAAATGATGGAAAACGGGTCGGTGGGTGGATCATTCGGGTCGGGTAGTGAACAAGCAGAAGATCCAAAGTCCGGGACTGAGTTTGATGTCAATGAACTTCGAGATGATGAACAACCTCCTCCAGCTAAGAAGAAACGTTACCACAGACATACTGATCGTCAGATCCAAGAAATGGAGGCGTAAGTTTTGCTTCTTTTGGTTTCAAAAATTGTGTATGAACTGAGTTGAATGGTTGAAATGATTTCTGCTAGCTAGGTTTATAGTAGTACTGGTTTTAGTTTTAGACTTTTAGTTTGGTCTTTTTTTTTTTTTTTTGGGCAAAGTTTTAGTTTCGGTCTAAAGTCAACATTTTTAATGATAAAAGTCGACTTTTTCTGGATTAAAAGGTTTTCGGTTTGTATTATGGGCTTTTAGTTAGTTTTGTGGATTTTTGGGAAATATATGAACCGTACTTAAGTTGAAACTAGTTACGCTATATAAGTTTGAATGGTTCTGAAGGTTTTCTTGATTGCATATGAGTTGAAGTTTTGTGAATTTCTTGGTTTTAAATTAAAGTATTAAATTTCTTGAGTATGGGTTTAAGTTTTTTAGTCTAGGACTAGGCAAGTGTATGGGTTTAAGTTTTTTAGTCTTGGTTTTAAAAGTACTAAATTTATTATATACGGGTCTAAGTATTGTGAAGGTTTTCTTGATTGTATATGGGTTTAAATTCTTTTTAGTATAGTAACTGTATTTGAATAAAGAAATGAAAAGCATCTAAACTGGAGAACTCTCTAAACTGTACTAAGATTTGATTTTAATATATTTTAGATGAGTACAATATTTGGTTTGGTTTTACCAAAATTGAATATAGCCCTGATACGACGTTTTGTGTGTATCCATCTCTTAACTGGAGTCTGCAAATTGTCTTTGGGTTTAAATAAGGATCATTATAAAATCTTTGTAGATTGTTCAAAGAAAACCCTCATCCAGACGATAAGCAAAGACAGAGATTAAGTCATGAACTTGGTCTCAAGCCTCGACAAGTAAAGTTTTGGTTTCAAAATAGGCGTACCCAAATGAAGGTAACCACTCTTTCATTTTACACTTTAACTTAATCATATTCTCAGTGAGTCATGTATATACTTTGTAAGATTTGCACTAATGAAGAAAATTTTGAAACCTTAAATTCATAATAATACTTAATAATTCAAGTTGTGCTATATATATGCGTGTGTATGTTAATATAAAAGATTAACTATAATAAAAACAATGATATTACCTGTTGTGATGAATCAAATATATAGGCACAACAAGACAGAGCCGAGAATGTGATGTTAAGGACAGATAACGATAATCTCAAGTTGGAGAATTCACAACTTCAGGCAGAGCTACGGTGCCTCTCGTGTCCTTCATGCGGCGGTCCCACCGTCCTTGGCGACATTCCTTTCAACGAACTCCACATTGAGAACTGTCGCCTCCGTGAAGAGGTATTTAATTTCTAACCATTTTAAATTTGTTTTGACAGTTTCAAAAACAATTTATACGTTTCTAGATGCTGTACTACATAATATATTGGTCCCATTTGAACCATAATGTTAAATTAGATTAGTAATACTGAATATAAGCCGGTTACAGTATTTTGTTTGCTTGAATTATAATACATATTGACCGTTTGTAAAACAGCTTGATCGTCTATGCTCCATAGCTTCAAGATACACAGACCGTCCAATGCAATCCATGCCACTGATCAATCCTGCTCAGGAGCTTCCGCATCATCAACCTTCATTGGAGTTAGATATGAGCGCTTACGCTGGAAACTTTCCAGAACATCCTAGTTCAGACTTGATGTTGCTTCCTCCACAAGACACTGCTGGTTTCTTCCCAAATCAAACTAATAACAGCAGCAAAAACAACATGTTACTTGCGGAAGAAGAAAAGGTTATGGCTATGGGATTTGCTGTCTCTTGCGTCCAAGAACTTACTAAAATGTGTAACATGGAAGAGCCATTGTGGATCAAGAAGAAATCCGACAAGACCGGTGAGGAGATTTTGTGTCTGAATGAGGAAGAGTACATGAGGTTGTTCCCATGGCCAATGGAGAATCATAACAACAAAGGAGATATTCGTAGAGAAGCTTCAAAGGCAAACGCAGTTGTCATCATGAACAGCATAACGCTTGTTGATGCGTTTTTAAACGCGGTAAGTACTGTAATATATATTAACAAAATTATTCAATATATATATATATATATTAACAAATATATTAACAAATGCGTTTTTAAACAAAAAAAAAAAAAAAATTCCATTAATTTTCTTTTTGCATTGTTTTGAATTGCAGGATAAGTGGTCAGAAATGTTCTGCTCAATCGTGGCTAGGGCGAAAACAGTTCAGATAATCTCTCCTGGAGTTTCTGGAGCTAGTGGTTCTCTTCTACTGGTAATTTAGTAACTCATTTTGGAACTAACGTGACATATCTTTCTAACTCAGTTCATGTTGTTATGTTTTACTAGATGTATGCAGAGTTACAGGTATTATCTCCACTGGTTCCAACTCGTGAAGCTTATTTTCTACGGTACGTGGAACAGAACGCGGCGAACGGGAACTGGGCAATCGTAGACTTCCCAATCGATAGCTTCCACGACCAAAACACTCCTCATGAGTATAAGAGAAAACCTTCAGGCTGCATCATTCAAGACATGCCTAATGGATACTCACAAGTCAAGTGGGTCGAGCACGTGGAGGTAGTCGAGAGGCACGTGCACGAGACATTCGCAGAATATGTGAAAAGCGGAATGGCTTTTGGAGCTCGCCGTTGGGTGGACGTGTTGGAGAGACAATGCGAGAGGATGGCTAGTCTAATGGCTAGAAACATAACCGATCTTGGAGGTTAGTAGTAATCTAAACCATATCCCTAGATTCTAAAATCCGTAAAACCAATGTTTAAGAAATTGCATGGCAACCAATGCGTGTTGGCATAGTGGTAATTGAACTCCGGTTGGAGTGCCCGCCCTGGGTTCGACCTGTGTTGGCCATGAGAGAATTTACATGCGGACTTGCTTTGGCGCCCGAAATCGAAGACCGCTACCCGGCCATGACTCACCTTCGGGTGTGCGTCCGCGGCGCTAAAGGGTTCGGTCTCTAATCTGGACCACTACGGTGGGTCAGGACACTCGGTTATCAAAATAAAATAAAAAAATTGCATGGCTATAATTAGACGTACGTATGAGATTACTGACTAGACTTATTTTATACACGTCTAGACCAATTTAAAAAAAAAATCATTCTAAAAACTGAAAATCATTTTGTTTTTGGAACACCGCCTAATTAAAACCGAACATCACTAAATTAAGCTTCTGTTTTTTTATTAGTGATTCGATCAGCAGAAGCGAGGAGGAACATGATGAGGCTATCACAAAGAATGATAAAAACATTCTGTGTGAACATAAGCACAACGTACGGACAATCATGGACAGCGCTGTCTGAAACGACGAAAGACACTGTGAGAATCACGACAAGGAAAGTGTGTGAGCCTGGACAACCTACTGGAGTTGTTCTTGTCGCTGTCTCAACAACTTGGCTTCCATTTTCTCACTTCAAAGTCTTTGATCTTCTCCGTGATCAACATCACCACTCTCTCTTGGAACTTTTGTTCAATGGAAACTCACCTCATGAAGTTGCTCATATAGCTAATGGTTCACATCCTGGAAACTGTATCTCCCTTCTTCGTGTCAATGTAAGTTCAAAATATAGAAACCCTAATTCAAAATACCACGAAAATATGAAAAATTTCCAAAGATAGTTAGCACAACTAAGAGCATCATTATTGCAAGTTTTTTAGGAGTAGTTTCTTTGGGAAATATAAGAAACTGTTTCTTCATTTTTAATTGAAAAGCTAAAAAACTGTTTCTTAAAGTAATTTCAGAAACAGTTTCTTAGCTTTTCAATTAAAAATTAAGAAACAATTTCTTATATTTTCTTAAGAAATCTGTCCTAAGAAACCTGCAATAATGATGTTCTAAGAACTCTCTTAATTGTGTTAGAGGTTTATTGTTCAAATTACGGGTGTGACAAATTAATATTACATTCGGATGTAATATTAATCTTGAATTTTTTATTGTGTATTTTACGTACAGGTGGCGAGCAATTCATGGCATAACGTAGAACTGATGCTACAAGAGAGTTGTGTCGATAACTCAGGAGGCTTGATCGTCTACTCTTCCGTTGACGTTGACTCAATCCAGCACGTGATGAACGGTGAAGATCCTTCTAGTATTCCGCTTTTGCCCCTCGGGTTCTCCCTCGTCCCCGTGAACCCTCCAGGTGATATGGAGGGTATTCCTGTCAATTCGCTTCCTCTGCCTTCGTGTCTTCTCACCGTTGGGATTCAAGTCTTGGCGAGCAACGTCCTAACCGCTAAACCTAATCTCTCCACCGTCACAGCCATCAACAACCACCTTTGCACCATTGTTAATCAGATCACTACCGTCCTTGGCAGCACCATTTCTCCGGCCATCGCATCTCCCGCCGCCTCAGCCAAACAAGAGGTCAACCAGTGACTGAATTACCCCTAAACCTCCTTGCTTTTTGAATCTCGGATAAGTGCAAAATGGTAATTTGTTGTTATAAGAGGGAGGTTAAGAGGTAATTCAGTTATGGCTCTGAGGGTAGTTTCATAAATAGCGTAGCATGTTTTCAGTTTTTTTTTTTGGGAAGGTCAAAATGTTATCTAAGACTAGAAAAGGCAGAGAAAGTCAAGAGCGCACCAGGCATCTGTGAACCGGTTTCCGGTTTGATAGAAAACGTTGCTGGGTTCGGGTATTGACTTTCTACTTGGTTTGAATCCTTTGAAATACTTTGGCTTATTTGCTTCGGAATTTAATATGCTACCTTCTTTTTATATTTTGGCTTTTCGTATTTAATGCTTTGGTCTTTTAATGATTTTTCTTTTTATTTATAAATATCGAATATGGGATGACTTATATTGCCAAATTTAGCTAATCACATTCACATTCATGATTCATTCTAAAGTAGTGAGCATGAATATTTTTATATGAACCGCAATCTGACAGATCAGCTATTAGCCGGTTTATATTGATTATCTTTGGTTATGATGTACTTGTGATTTAATATAGGTTTAGACCGGTTTAGCATATGATTATATATACTTGTAAGTAACTAATTCTGTAACTGACAAGTGAGAAACGGTCCATACAGAAACAGCCAAGCCTAACATCTTGAAAATACTACATCAATAGACTATTTTTACAGGTTATATAGGTAGAAAACTATTTATATGAGAAACTATATGCTGGACCAAACTTGTATTAAATTACATGTACATCATAACCAAAGATAACCCATATAAACCGGCTAACTACTGGTTCGTTTGACATCGATGCACCATTTTGGTACGTTGACCTTCTCTGTGACGGTCGAACGGGTATCTGGTTTAATAAAAATAAATAGCAGGTTCGAGCTTTACTTTCTAGGTTGTTTGACTGCTTTGAAATATTTTGGTTCTTTGCAATTTTATATGCTAACTTTATGTTTTGCCTTTTCGTATGTAATGTTGGTCTTCTATGATTTCATATAAACATCGAATACGGGACGACTTATTGTACCAAATGTAGCTAAACATAATACTTGTCGATGGTGACAATTTAAATATTTTCTTGTTGGGTGTCTATTCAATGAATAAAATTATGCTCCTTAATTAATTTGTTTGGATTGTTAGTATCTGGCGACAATAATGACAGAGTAAGTCATATGATTAAATACGTGCCAATTATAAGAATTTAATCATAAGAATTTAATTAGACAAAACATTCCTCTGGGTTCGGTTTTATTTCATGTGCTTCGTCAAATTTAAAAATGTCATGATATTATTGTGCATGTGATGTTCAGTATAAAACTTAAAAACTATAAGCATTCATTAATCAAGAATCATATAAATGCTAATAAAAGAGAATACTCACTTCTCAGCCATGTCATTAGTCCTTGCAGCAGATTGTTAATATCTAGCAATAATGACAGATTATATAGTACACCAAATGATTAAGTCCGTTCTAATAAGAACTCAATTGAAGAGACATTCCTGGATTCGGTTTTGTTTCATGTGTTTGGTCAAATTTAACAGTTCCATGGTATTGTGTAAAACTGAAATATAAAACTTCGAAATATATAGTATCCCTTAATCAAGAACAATAATAATATGCTATTGTTATTATTTTTAAAAGATAACACTTTATTTCATTGATAAAACATGTAGCAAATTACAAAATATAGATTAAAAGATAATGGTAGAATAAAACAAGAATACTGAAAAAAGAATCGTAAAACTTAGAATATTGATTTAAAAATCTCTAAGCACATTGGAAACCAGATGGAACCTTGGTACGGCACTGGTTAAAGAGAACACTCAGTGAAATAGGAACACGAAGATTAATGCCAAGAAGATTAGCCTTCAAGGTGGTGCAGAGACAGACTCCGGCATCGAGATTAACTAGACCTTGGACAAGGCTGCAGCATTCGGCCTTTTGTGGTAGAGAAATCTTAACCAAATTCAACACGTTGGCACATACCTTGAGTTTAAGAGCATCTTTACAAGTGGGTTTGGGGTAAGGAGACGATGGCGAGGGCTTCTTGGTGGGGGTTTTGGACGGTGGTGGTGGACAATGAGCAGAAGCCGAGCTGACAAAAATGAAGAAGATGACATTCAAAACAAGGAGAAGAGCAATCTTAGAGTAAGCCATTGATGAAGAAGTGATAGCTTTAAGAGATTTCTCTTAAAAAGTTATCTCTCTTTATCAAGCTTGTGAGTTGTGATGTTGTGGGGAGAAATTGGTATGGTTTATATAGGCGAAGATTCAGATCGGCTAATGTGTTTTTAATTACAATTTGACGAGTGCCAACGAATGATATTATAAGTTCGATGAACTGTTCACGTGAAGGATTTTGAAGGTATAATTATTATGAACTGATTGATATTACAAACTGTCAAGAGATAATGATAATTAGTCGTTACATGTAACATGCAAGAAATATTAAATTAGCCAATACACAAGGCTCATAGCTCATATTAATAATTAATCTGAATAAATGACAGGTAATATTTTACTTATATGTGACTGTTATTCCGTTTTTGTAGTATGTAACATGTTACCTTTTTTGTGTGTAAAAGTTAAAATTTTATATCCTCTTCAAATTTCAACCGTAATCACTGGTGTTACAAAGAGCGGATAAAACTAATAATAAAAACTACAACGACAATCAAATACTAATATAAAACTCAACTTCTTGACGTTGAGTAACACTAAGGTGTTGATTTTCAGAGTTTTTTAGTTTTTGACTTCGAAGACAGTTTAGGTTATGTCAGCTTGTTTTACAGAAAAAAAGAAGTTTTAGGTTATATCCAATTCATGGTAAGGGTAAAAGGAGAAATTAAGTTCATGTTTTCAGCTTCTTAAGTCAAAATGGTACTGAAAAAAAGAAGGATCAGGAAGTCAAGAGCTCATCTGCTAGTAGGACTAAACATTTTATCCATTAAATTTGATTTGATTTGATTTGTTATTATTATGATTTGATCAGAAAAATCTANGTTTTAGGTTATATCCAATTCATGGTAAGGGTAAAAGGAGAAATTAAGTTCATGTTTTCAGCTTCTTAAGTCAAAATGGTACTGAAAAAAAGAAGGATCAGGAAGTCAAGAGCTCATCTGCTAGTAGGACTAAACATTTTATCCATTAAATTTGATTTGATTTGATTTGTTATTATTATGATTTGATCAGAAAAATCTAGATACCAAAGTTTCTAGAACAAAACAAATATTCAAAATAATATCCGTTAGAAAATGAAGTAAACCACAAATACTAAACAAATTAGAGATGGATATCTGCTCCAATCTGAGTTTTGTACACCTAGATATAAATCTACAACTATTATTTTTCATATAATTTTATTAATTTATTTATAAATTTACTTATAAAAGTATTAAATTAAGAAATGAATATATAATCTTTAGAGAAACTTCAATTTTTCTAAAAAATTTGTCTATAAGGAAATTAAATTATTAAAAAAATAATTTCACTAATTTTATTTTATATTATGTAAAAGATATTTTGTAAGCAAACTTGTGTAGTTTTTTTTCTAGAATTACTTGCATAGAACAAACCACAAATACTAAAAATTAGGATACTATTCGATCTGTGTCCACACCTACCAGATAGGTCTTAGTGGAGATATTTTTGCTGTGGACCGGATTATCGGTCAAACCGGTCTCCGGGTTAATAGAAGAACCAATGTTTTTAAATCTAACCCGGACATTGAACCGTAAATTTTCTAGGTCACCGGGTTACTGAGTTGACCATGAGCGAACCACAGATTAACACATTAATTAATTTTAATACATAAGTATGTATTAGCTATTAAAAATATAAGAGAAATTTCACATTTCTTAAAAATAAACAAATAATTTAATTTTAGTCTCTTTATTTTTTATTTTTATTCTCATTTCACATATAAAAATAATTTAAATTATTTAAGAAATTTTCTAAAAAATAGGATTGAGACATATAATACTACATCATAATACTTAAATTTTATAAGTACACTATATTCTCTTTATATGGAATAATGAAATGTTCATCAAAATCTAAATATTATAATAACTAGTTTAGTCACTTTTATATATTATATTACAAAATTAAGTAAGAGCAAATAATTTGATCCATAAAAAACATCTATTTAAAAACATACAAAATCAAGAAAACAAAATAAAAGCATGTGTTTCACAAAAAGAATAAAAAAATTATATGATAAACGTTAGAACCTAAAAGGTTAAAACAAATGTTATTCACTATAAAAAAATCAGCAAAAAATTAAAAAGAAAGATGAAAAAGATATAGAGTATATGTGATAGCACGGATAATGATAATTTTATGAGAAAATTAAAAATTAAAGCCTAACTTTTGACTTTTGGAATACAAAAATATTTAATAAAGTAGTTATAAATCTAAGAAAAATTAAATAAAAAAGTTCACTTGTTCACCCAATAGTTCAACCAATAGCCGAATCACTGTGTTTAAGAGTTTTTAGTGGGTTTTATCAAATTTTCAATTAATAGATATTTTTAAAAATCCGAACCGGATTACTTACCGATCATCGGATTTAGTGGTCTGACCGGAGATCCAGGTCGGTTGTGAAAACACTGAGTAAAACGTAGATGTATTGATTTTCTACTTGGTTTGAATCCTTTGAAAAACTTTGGCTTACTTGCTTCGGAATTTTAATATGCTACCTTCTTTTTATATTTTGGCTTTTTGTATTAATGCTTTTGGTTTTAATGAGTTCCTACAAATATCGAATATGGGATGAGTTATATTACCATATTTAGACTAAACGTAATACTTGTCTGTCGCGATTTATATATTTGCTGGTTGGTGTGTCATTAAAATCATGCTTATTTGAATTAATTTGTTTTAGATTGTTAATATCTAGCAAAAATGACAGAGCATGCATGATTAACTTGGTGCTTATAAGAATCTAGTTATAAAAAGTTCTTAGGTTCGGTTTTATTTCATGTGCTTGGTCAAATTTTAAAGTTGCGCGGTGTGGTACTGTGGTGTGATAAATGATAATGCATATAGCAAAATTTGGATGGTATAAGCATCCATTAACCAAGTATAATAAATAATAGCTATTTATCATTTCTTAACGAAAACACCTTATTCCATTAATAAAACATTAAGAAATTACAAACAATACATTATAGCAGAATAAAACAAGAAAATTGGAAATTACAAGAAATTTTGAAACAAGAATTGTAGTTTTAGTGACAATTTAGAACATCGATTGAAAAATGTGTTAGCTCTAAGCACATTGGAAACCAGATGGAACCTTGGTACGGCACTGGTTAAAGAGAACACTCAGTGAAAGAGGAACACGAAGATTAATAATGCCAAGGACATTAGCCTTCAAGGAGGTGCAGAGACAGACTCCGGCATCGAGATTAACTAGACCTTGGACAAGGCTGCAACATTCGGCCTTTTGTGGTAGAGAAACCTTAACCAAATTCAACACGTTGGCACATACCTTGAGTTTCAGAGCATCTTTACAAGTTGGTTTGGGGTAAGGAGACGACGGTGAGGGCTTCTTGGTGGGGGTTTTGGACGGTGGTGGTGGACAATGAGCAGAAGTCGAGCTGACAAAAGTGAAGAAGATGACATTCAAAACAAGTAGAAGAGCAATCTTAGAGTAAGCCATTGATGAAGGAAGGAGTAATAGCTTTAAGAGATTTCTCTTAGAAAGTTATCTCTCTTTATCAAGCTTGTTTTGATGTTGTGTGAATAAAATGGAGAGAGTAGTATGGCTTTTATAGGCGAAGATTCATATCGCTTAATGTGTTTTTAATTACAATTTGACGAGTGCTTGCCAACGATTGATATTATAATAAGCTCGATGAACTGTTCACATGAAGGATTTTGAAAGTATAATTATTATGAACTGATTGATATTACATACTGTCAAGAGATAATGATAATTAGTCGTTACATGTAACATGCAAGAAATATTAAATTAGCCAATACACAAGGCTCATAGCTTATGTTAATAAATAATCTAAACAAAATGACAAGAATATTATTCTCGACTCTAATTCCTTCAGGACCGTTGATTCTCTATTCAAGACAATAGACCTTCAGATCAGGAATAGGATTCAAAGTTTCAGAGAAGACAATCCCAACCTTGTTTCCAAGATGCTGAATCTGTGGTTTGCTTGAGCGATCATTCCTAAGCGTTTCGTCTAATAGGTCTTTATTGGGCTTGTCCCACTAAATACCTTGGTGGTAAACTTGTAAACATTTTATTTTTCTTTTAGTAGTAATGACTAATGAAAGCCCTTTTCCAAAAGAAAAGAATATTATTACATATATGTGACTGTAATTCCGTTTTATTTTGTTGTTTTTGTAGTTTTGTAACATGTTATCTTTTTGTGTAAAAGTTAAAGTTTTATACCCTTTTCTAATTTTTTAACAAAGATCACTGAGATTATAAGTAGCAGATAAAATTAAAAATAAAAACTACAACGATAGTCAAATATAACAGTTGAAGTTGAGTATAACCCTAAGGTGTTGATTGTTTGAATTGGCTTTAGTTTTTAGTTTTTTATATTTTGTTTTTAGATGTTATCATTCGAACTTTGAAGTTAGGTGTTATTTTTGTTTTTCATCTTTGTTTTTTAGTTTTTAGATTTGGATTTTTTTTTTTTTTAGTTTTACTGTACTTTTCTTTTTTTTTTTTTTAAAAAAAAAGACTAATACATTATTTTAAAATAACACAACAAAAGTACCACTAAAATTTATCATAGTATAGTGATTATTTTTTAAAACTAAAAAATCTTCGATAAAATTTTCATTATTATATTTTAAATGAACTTATATTATAGTAAAATATAAATCATAAAATATCTATAAATTATACAAATTTTAAAACTATTTCAATCATCACCTAAACTTAGAAATGAGTTTACTTAGAAAACTTCAAAAGAGTAACATAAACGAAGGATGTTGTATTGCCGCATGTGAAAGGCCATAGTGAAAACACTAGTCTGAGTGTGGAAGCCATTCTCCATTAGATTGGCCTACATCCTATGCAGCTTTGCTAGGTTTTCGATCTTGGTGCAGCACAAGAACCTGATCACTCAGGTCTGGTCTTTTTTCTATTCTCGCTGCCATCTTTCTCCTCCTACTTTGTTTGAGGCAGGTATTAGATGGGCGAAAAGGCCAGCGGGGAGTACCAATGTCTCAATAATCATTAAGCTTGCCTTCCAAGCGTCTTTGTATTTCTTGTGGAAGGAGCGGAATGCAAGGCTTCACACTTCAATCACTCGTCCGGCCTCTGCTCTGGTTGCTGACATCTCCCTCCAGATTTGAGCCAAGCTTGACATTCTATCTCGTTCGAGTGGTCGACCTCCTCCTGTTTCGTTGCTCGTTACTTGGTTTACTCATTTTAGTAACTAGTTGCTGGTATGTTTTGTTCTTTTGTATGCAGATCCCTTGAGGACTGAGAACTTGAGCTGTAATCCCGTTGGGAATTAAGTTATTAATGGAAGTTAGTTAAAAAAAAAAAAGAATCTGATCACATTTGCTCCATAGTCATCCTTGATTACTTTTTTTTTTGTTGTAAATCACATTCATTCTAAATTGACATTCACATTGTCATCAGTGGCGACCAATAAGTTGGCACACAAAACCGCATTGATGCACCATTTTGGTACGTTGACCTTCTCTGTGAACGGTCGAACTGGTATCCGGTTTAATAAAAATAGATAGCAGGTTCGAGCATTTACTTTCTAGGTTGTTTGACTGCTTTGAAATATTTTGGTTCTTTGCAATTTTGTAAGCTAACTTTATGTATTATCTTTTTGTGTTTAATGTTTTGATCTTCTATGATCTCATATAAACATCGAATATGGGACGACTTATTGTACCATTACCATATGTGGCTAAACATAATACATGTCGATGTTATACGGAATGTTTAACTTCTGGGCGTCTATTTTTACACTTCCAAAGGGCTGTAGTGATGCTATCGAAAGGCTGTGCAACGCCTTCCTTTGGAGTGGAGGACTAGATTCGGCAAGATGAGCAAAAATTTCATGGGAATCGGTCTGCACTCTAAGAGTATCTCCAACTCCACTCCATATTTTACTGCAAAATAGAGTGGGAAATGGAGTAATGAACAAACAAAAAAGTGATTACTCTATAAATGGAGTAATGAATTTTTTGTTTGTTCACTACTCCATTTTCCACTCCACTTTGGTTTAGATCGTACTCCTTCAGGGCACGGTATGCAACGGCCTACTTCCACTTCAGAGACTTATCTACACACCTGGTTCCAGCATTTCGACGTCTAAGATGCCTTCTCAACAAAGACCAGAATTCTTTATATATTCTCATACCTCATGTGTTTCTTTCTTTAAACTACCACAATCTTTGTAGTCATTTTAAGCTCCTTCATCTTGTATTTGGAAACAATGTCTCTCTAGGGGAAGAAAATGAATAAGAAGGAATATAATAATAGTAATAATAATAATAATAATACATGTCAATGATGACAGTCAAAATATTTTCTTGTTGGGTGTCTATTCATTGAATACAAATTGTTTGGATTGTTAATATCTGGCGACAATGACAGAGTAATCCATATGATTCAATACGTGCAAATCATAAGAAATCAATTAGACAAACATTCCTCTAGGTTCGGTTTTATTTCATGTGCTTCGCCAAATTTAAAAGTGTCATGATATTATTGTCTGATGTTCAATATAAAACTTAAAAACTATAAGCATCCATTAATCAAGAATCATATGTATGCTAATAAACTGAAATATAAAACTTAGAAATTAGAAGCATCCCTTACTCAAGAACAATAATAATATGCTATTGTTATTATTTTTAAAAGATAACAATTTATTTCATTGATAAAACATGAAGCAAATTACAAACAATAGATTAAAAGATAATGGTAGAATAAAACAAAAATACTGAAACAAGAATCGTAACACTTAGAATATTGATTTAAAAATCTCTAAGCACATTGGAAACCAGATGGAACCTTGGTACGGCACTGGTTAAAGAGAACACTGAGTGAAATAGGAACACGAAGATTAATAATGCCAAGGACATTAGCCTTCAAGGTGGTGCAGAGACAGACTCCGGCATCGAGATTAACTAGACCTTGGACAAGGCTGCAACATTCGGCCTTTTGTGGTAGAGAAACCTTGACCAAATTCAACACATTGGCACATACCTTAAGTTTCAGAGCATCTTTACAAGTGGGTTTGGGGTAAGGAGACGATGGTGAGGGCTTCTTGGTGGGGGTTTTGGACGGTGGTGGTGGACAATGAGCAGAAGCCGAGCTGACAAAAATGAAGAAGATAACATTCAAAACAAGGAGAAGAGCAATCTTAGAGTAAGCCATTGATGAAGAAGTGATGGCTTTAAGAGTTTCTCTTAGAAAGTTATCTCTCTTTATCAAGCTTGTGANTAAGGAGACGATGGTGAGGGCTTCTTGGTGGGGGTTTTGGACGGTGGTGGTGGACAATGAGCAGAAGCCGAGCTGACAAAAATGAAGAAGATAACATTCAAAACAAGGAGAAGAGCAATCTTAGAGTAAGCCATTGATGAAGAAGTGATGGCTTTAAGAGTTTCTCTTAGAAAGTTATCTCTCTTTATCAAGCTTGTGATGTTGTGGGGAGAAATGGAGAGTGTGGTATGGTTTTTATAGGTGAAGATTCAGATCGGCTAATGTGTTTTTAATTACAATTTGACGAGTGCCAACGAATGATATTATAAGTTCGATGAACTGTTCACCTGAAGGATTTTGTCATTTTGAAAGTATAATTATTATGAACTGATTGATGTTACAAACTGTCAAGAGATAATGATAATTAGTCGTTACATGTAACATGCAAGAAATATTAAATTAGTCAAACACAAGGTTCATATCTTATATTAATAAATAATTAAACAAAATGCAAAAATAAAAAAGTGAAATTTCTAAGTAAGAGTATGTTTAATGGAGAATTCTTAAAGTGTGGTTCTTAATGAAATATAAGAAACCGTCTCTTAGTTTTTAACTAAAAAAGCTAAGAACCTCTTAAATATTTTATTTAAATGCTTCTTCTTAGTTTTTTTAGTTAAAAAATTAGAGACGATTTCTTATATTTCGCTAAGAACTTCATTCTAAGAACCATCATTAAACATGCTCTAATTGTCTTAACAGCTAAAATCACCTGATTTAGTAGGCTTATGGGTGATTATATATTTTGTTTTTAATTACTTGTACTAGATTTTGACCCATGCTTAAAAGCCTAAATTTTTTATTATAGAATTTTTTGATATGAATTAGTATTTTGTGATTTTTATATATTATTATGTTATAAAATTATATTATATAAAGGAAAAAATTGTTTAAAATTATATTATATATATATAATACATCTACTAAGAACTCCAATGGGGTTGGTCTTATTTGCATTGAAAGACACAATCATGTGGTTTCAGAAAAAACATTGAACTTTTTTGCCCTTAATGAAACGAGAGATAGAGAGAGAGAATTTTTGTTTGGTGTAATTTGTTTTTTTTTTTAATTTATACTAGGTGATTTTCCCGTGTTCATGCACGGGTATAAATATTCATAAAATAAAATTTTATAATAATTGATTGATATTTAGTTTTAGTTTTATATCAATTTATATGTATAATTTATATTAATAAATATTATATTATTCTAATTATACATATGACTTTGGATTTATTATTGTCGGTTTAATTATTTTTTGGATCACTAGTCGGTTTGGTTATCAATTTGGTTTATTGGATAATATTTTTTTTTCGAATTCAGCTATAATATTTTTTATTGTAAATATAATAAAACTTTGATTAATTTTCTTATTTTCATTTCGGTTGGTTATTTTCTTATATATGTAAATATATTCTTAGATATGTAAATATATTATAGTTAAATTATATATAACTTAATATATATATATATATATATATATATATATATTGTCCTTAAACTAAAATTAATAATAAGCTGAAGTGTTTGATTCAAAATTACATAAATGAATATAATGATAATATTTTGAAGACCCATGCATATATACAAATTCTACAAAAGAATAAATTGTAATTGGTTAATATTTTCTTTTTCTTTTTAATATGCTTTGAGTCAACCTCTAATTTATATGTATAAAATTAAATAGATTATTATTACTATAAAATTATATGTTCTTATTGTAGTTAGATGTTTAATTTTGGATATAAATTAGATTAGTCGAGTCATTCATGTTGTGAGTATATTGAGTTAAGATTGAAGTATAATTACTTTTTATTTTAGTTAAGTCCAATCAAATTAGTTATATTTATTGCTTAAATATACATGTATTTTCATAATATTTATTTATTTCTTATTTTATTTAAGTTAAATCAAATTAGTTTTATTTATCGCTTAAATATACAAATATTTTCATAATATTTATCAAATTATATGTTGATTTCTAAAAAATATATTAGAAAATAAAGTGTAATTGATAAATTTGGATGTTCATGAACATATATATTTTTATTATTTTGAAAATATACTATATGTTATTTAAAATATATATTAATGGAGTATATTACTATTTTGTGAACTTTCCTTTTTATTAAAGTCATAATATATACATATATTTTCGTTTTTAAATCTGTTTTAAAATTTTAGAAATATTTCCTTTTTATTATATATGTTATTTGGAAAAAGTCAAAAAGAAACTAAATAAAAAAAAATTTATAATAAACTTAAAATCTAACAATTCATTAAGGATATCTATGTAATCAACCATCGCGAAAGTTAACGTGAACGCGACACGTAGGAAACTGACTTCTCAAATAATATTATAGAGATTTGGGAAATTGGACCCTATAGCCACACAAAAACCCATAATTAGTTAAGTAGCCAAAATCATACTCTCTCTCCCCTTCTTTCTACCTATCTCTCTCTATTCTCTCTCCTAAAAAACTAATTTTCTTTTTTTTTTCTAGCTATTTGGCAAATAAGCATTTTATATTTTATATTATTTTTTTTCTTATTCCACTTTATGTTAATTTAGTTTATTTCAAAATATAAATATAAAAAAAAATTGTCACAACAAGTTATATATATAATATTCTCTATTTTTGACTTCCATTTTCATATATTTATTTTATATGTATTAATATTCTGGTTAAGAATTTTTTTTTTATTTTGAAATTGTTTAAAATATTGTTTTGTTTTTAGAACAAAGATTTTCGTTATGATGTGAATGTGGACATCAACGTATCCACTAATAAAAATTGAGATTTTTTTGTTTTTTAACACAAAAGAGAGCTTTCTTAAATTTGTGGATACCATGTGAAGTTATTGTTTTTGTTTCAAAGTGGTTTGTAAATTTCATCTTGATCTTTAAATAAATGTTTCGATTATGTAGTGGATGTGACGCTAACGTTTTGATTAATAAAAAGGAGGTTTCTTATATGGGGCAATTTGCCAAATAACTATAACGAAATTCAAA